TAAAACAGAGATATATAACCTAACAATTCACTCCTAGGTGTATATACTAGAAAAATAAAAACATGTTCACACAAAAATTGTACACAAATGCGCATAGCAATATTATGCATAATAACCAAAACAGACACTCAAATGGCTGTTGAGCGATAGATAGATACCACAATGTGGTATACCCATAAAATGGAATAGTACTTGGCCATAAAAACGAAGTACTTATACATGGTAAAACAGGAATGACTTTTGAAAATGTTATGCTTAGGGAAAGAAGCCAGTTACAAAAGACCACATATTGTACGATTCTGTTTATTATAAATGAAAAGCCCAGGATAGGCAAGACCAGAGAAACAGGAAGTAGATTTGTGGTTGTCAGGCAGGGGCTTATGGAAGGAGGGGGGAATGGAGAGGGACTGCTTGCTAATAGGCTTCTCTTAGAGGGGATGAAAATGTCCTAATGTTAGATTGTGGTGATGGTTGTACCTTCTTGTGGCCATACTAAAGAACGTTGAATTGTAGCCTAATATAGGTGAATTGTGTGGTATGTGAGTTATATCTCAACAAACCTGTTTTTCAAAATAATTAAATGGAAAATAATATTACCTTCCAGAAAATAATATATGTTTTAAAATCATTGCCAAGGCTATTTGGTGTGCACCCCCAAACCTTTGTGTTTATTATTTTTATTCAATTTAATAGGTATGAACTGATGTCCAAAGCTGCTTCAGTTAAATCCTGGGTAGAATGTAAAGTTCAGGATGGCAGCAATTTTTGCCTGTTTCTGTCCACTGCTGTATCTCCAAACAGTGCCTGGCAAATAATAAGTATTCAGTAACATTTGTTGAATAGAATGCGTTTTGATATTTGAAGTTAGTAAGCATTTTCCCCTTTAGTATCTTAATTTCATAGTGCATCTGGACTCATTGTTCTTTCTAGCCTCAAATTTGTTTAGGAATGAGGCAGTGTAATAACTGAATGAATTGAACTGAATGTACTTCTTCTGGTGAGTGAATCTGATTCAAGTCCTTTGACCTTATATGCTTTTACTTTTCTGAATTTCGTTATAACAATAGTTTGCAAATGTTTGACTGTGAAGACTCCTTTTTATTTATTTATTTTTCTTTCATAATTGAGATTTTATTGTTTTGAGAATCAGTACACAGACATTTCAATTTGTATACAATTCTTAACGTACCAAAAATGTAAAGTCATGTAATTGCGATTCTTTTCTAAACAGTTATTCCAGTGACTTTCCAGCTTAAAATTTAAAGGCTAACCTTCCTTAATAGAGAATCAAATACCAATATCTTCAAATGTTGATATGCTGTTACATCAAAGTCCCAGTAATTCACAATTTAATATCATATACACACCATAATCAAAATTTCAATCTTTCACAGCACATTGACAAAGTTACTAGGAAAACTGGACTACCACACAAAAGATGTTACAGATGCACAAAATTCTGACAGGGAGAGCCAAGATCAAGTAGTAGTTTTCTTTAGGAAATAATTCTACCAAAAACATGTGAATAGAAGTAATTTAAATAAAATGTTCAAGACATAGCAAATGCACGACTGACTCCAAATTGCCATTTAGTATGCTTTATATTCTAGGATATAAAAACTACCCACATCTATGGAATGTTAAGCTGACACCTAAGACAATCAAAGCCTCCCATATTCAATATCCCACTATTTTCTGGTTGTACCAAAAAATAAACAACCAGCAAATGATTTCACCTCTAAAAAAAAAAAAAAAAAAGCATTTACATTTAAAAAAATGGGATGAGGTGGAATCCCCTCCTTAAAAATGTTTCTAGAGCTACTAAAAAACTTGCTCTAGAAACTTACAAAATAGTTGATAAAAATATTCCTCTGGATTGTTCAAGAAGGGAGACAGGGCCCACTGATAAGACATGGTATGTGACATTCATCATACTTGGCTTTTTTTTTAATTTTTATTTTTTTAAAATATATTTTATTGATTTTATACAGAGAGGAAGGGAGAGAGATAGAGAGTTAGAAACATCGATGAGAGAGAGAGTCATCGATCAGCTGCCTCTTGCACACCCCCTACCGGGGATATGCCGGCAACCAAGGTACATGCTCTTGACCGGAATCGAACCAGGATCCTTCAGTCCCCAAGCCGACGCTCTATCCATTGAGCCAAACCGGTCCCGGCATACTTGGCTTCTTTTTCTCCTGCTTCATCCGAGGTTGGGCTCTTGTTTTTAGTTTCTCCGTTTTCTGCAGGTAGATCTTTAGGTTCCTGGTCAGTCACTTCGGCCTGCTTTCTCTTTGCTCCCCTTTTCCCTTTCATTTGTACTTTTTTGTCCGCACACTTATCCTTTCCTGCCGCCTTTTTGGCTTTGTTTCCACTTTTGCAGGAGGTTTGGCGGCTCCTCCTTGGCCGCCCCCTCCACAGAGCTGGCCTTCCTCTTGGGCATCCTGGAGGCGGGTTGGGTGCGAGCTGGGTGCCTGAGGGCCATGGCACCCTAGTGGCTTGGCGAACCTGGGCTGCCTCGTCTCCCGCCACCCAAGCTGCTCGGACCCGCAATGGGAGCCTGAAGATACCTTTTTAAAACCAATGTCAACATAAAAATAATTGTACTCTCTGTAGAAAAAAACTACATAGTGGCAAGAAGCCATTTATATTTTACAGTCACCACAGTATCTTCAGAAATTTGTAAAATAGAGGTTCTAATATATGAAACATAAATCACATCATATGTGCATCGTGGATGTATTACGTATGGACCCATGGCAATAATTTTGAAAGCCACCAGAGATTTGGGGCCAGTAAGTTGAGAACTACTTAATTATAGTATCAGAACTGAGGAGCATTACTGAAATGTAAATAATAGGTAGTATAGAAAATTATACCCTAATCACACATTTTAAAAATTCAGTCCCTAAAGCTATCAGTTTCTTTTAAAGATACACTGAGTGGCCAGATTATTATGATCTCTGAAAGCATAATAATCGGGCCACTCAGTGTATAGCCTATATAATAAAAGGCTAACATGCAAATTGTTCCCTTGACCAGGAGTTCGACCAGCAGGCAGGCCGACCAACCGCCCATGTCCCCTCCCCCTGGCCAGGCTGGCTGGACCCACCCATGCACGCATACATGAATTCATGCACCAGGCCTGTATGCGCGCGCGCACACACACACACACACTGAGTGGCCAGATTATTATGCGTTCAGAGATTATAATAATCTGGTCACTCAGAGTGTGTGTGTGTGTGTGTATCCCTTACCTAAGGACATATTAATTAATTTTTTTAGAGAGAGAGGAAGGGAGAGAGAAGCACAGAAATGTAGCCTCTCACATGTTCCATCACCAGGATTGAACGTATAACCTAAGTATGTACCTTGACCAGGAATTGAACCAATAACCCTTTGGTGTATGGGACGATGCTCTAATCAACTAAGCCACCGGCCAGGACAAGACTGAAGTATATTTTTAAAAATCAAGTTTGTGTCTTAAAAATTTACTTACTTGACATATTTTTCCAAAAAATCAGAAGCAAACTAAATGTTAATTATGCTTAATTAAGTTTTGATATATTTATCTGGTGGAAGTTAGGTAGCAATTGAGTATTATAATTTAAAAAAATATTAATTTTAGAGAGGAAGGGAGAGAGAGAGAGAGAGAGAGAGAGAGAGAGAGAGAGAGAGAGAGAGAGAGAAACATTAGTGATGAGAATCATTGATAGGCTGCCACCTGCACGTCCCCTACTGGAGATCGAACCAGCAACCTAGGCATGTCCCCAGCTTATCCCTTCAGTCCACAGTCCAACGCTCTATCCACCGAGCAAAACCGGCTAGGGCTTGATTATTATAATTGAACATTGTAATTCTTATTTGACAATTTAAAAAACAAGAATATCATCAAGTATTGTTAAACATTTTAACTGTGATTGTATGAAGTCTTTATGTAATTGTGAAGGACAGGAGGTTAGTAATGGTTGTGCCCAGAGAGGAATTCTGGGTAATTTTTTCCTCTTTTTGGAACACTTACTTGGCAGTTGCTATGTGCCAGGCACTATTCTAAGCTTTTTTCAAGAGTCAACTCAGGGATCATCAAACTATACATACACATTTGGTATTTGGGGCCTCTTTGTGTGTGTGTGTGTGTGTGTGTGTGTGTGTGTGTGTGTGGAGGAGCTTGAGTTAAGAATGTCATATATATACCATTCCTGGTTAATCACAATAGGTGCTTTACAGTGACAGAGATTGTATATATATGCCATTCGTATGTATATATTTTTTAATCCTCACCCAAGCATATTTTTTCATTGATGTTTAGAGAGAGTGGAAGGGGAGAGACAATGAGAGAGAAACACTGATGTGAGATAGATACATCAATTGTTTGCCTCCTGCATGCCCCTCTCCCCTCTAGGGTTGGGGATTGAGTCTGCAACAGAGATACGTGCCCTTGACTGGAATCAAACCCAGGACCCTTCAGTTCAAACCAGCTAGGGCAGTTTTTATACTTTTAAAGGATTTAAAATAGAAGAACAAGATGCATGGAGACTGTATATGGCCAGCAAAGCCTAAAATAGTTACTATCTGGCCATTTGCTGAAAATGTTTGCTCACTCCTGATTTATTTCATTTTTTTTCTCACAAAATTTTGATAAGGTGGGTCCTGTTATTATCATCCTCATTTTACAGATGAAGAAACTGAGGCAGAGAGGGCTTAAATACTTTATTTCCCCGGTATCATTCACTTTTTAAAAAAAAATATATATTTTATTGATTTTTTACAGAGAGGAAGGGAGAGAGATAGTTAGAAACATCCATGAGAGAGAGTCATCGATCAGCTGCCTCTTGCACACCCCCTACTGGGGATGTGCCCGCAACCAAGGTACATGTTGACTAGAATCGAACCGGGGACCCTCACTGTTTTTAGAACAGATTGCAGGCTCTTTCTACAAACTTGCTAATATTGTGTTTCCTTGCAGTGTAAAAAGTGGATAGTGGCTCACATGGCACAGGATGGGACGGTCACGCGCTAGATCCCCCAAGTGGAAACATAGGTGAGCAGTTTTAGTTTAGCAGGGCAAGCTTGGATTTGAGATGTACTTTGACTTTCACATTCGCCAGGATGATTAAGAACCTATGTTAATAAGCTCTTGGGACCTGGGTAATCACAATAGGTGCTTTACAGTGACAGAGATTGTATTTCTAAGAGCTGACAGCTTTCTTTAAGTATGGTTGGCAGCTAGAATTCATCCAGAATTCTAGAAAGGCAGTGACCACAGTAAGGGAGAGTGAGAAACATCTTTGAGAGTCCTTTAGAACTTTATGGTTGTGTATTTTATTTATAATCAATATGTTGGAAGACATTGGGAGTTAGAAAATTAGGACTTGCCTATTTCTTCTTCATGGCAGAATAATAGAATTTTGAATAACGCAATAGTAGTTCACTCTCCCCTTCCCCAGTAGGTACTATCAAACGCATACATAATTAGATTGCAACGGTTCAATTACTAGTATTTAGTGTTTACCTGCTACAGGAATTTCTGGGGCTACAAAGGCAAATACAATACCTTACAGCTCCTCAGCAAGCACACGGCTGGCTGGGAAGATTGGCGCCATAGCCAGCTATGAGACTGGGGAAAGCGTGCTGCTACTGACTGAGACGGAGTACTCTGGATCCACAGGGAGGAAATAATTCTGCCTTGGTGCAGGGGAAGGGGAATACTGAGGAAGTCTTCGAAGAAGAGATGAGATTTCAGTCACTTAAGGATGAGTAAAATTTCCAAAGGCAGAAAGAGAGAAGAAAAGTATTCCAGTTAAGGGGGACACATGAGCAAAGGCACAGAGCTATGAAAGTGACTAGCACATTCTGGGACTCGTAAGAAGGGCCATGATTACATATACCAAAGGCAGCCCAGGTTTTTCATGGTAATGCGACTTGGCAGTGTGCTTGCCTCATGGTGGTTCTACAGTGACTAATCAATCATTCCTTCAACAATTTTAATTTCAACTTCACAGGACTAAATTGTAGTGGGGGGGGACCTTCAAAAACGGGTTGGGGGACGTAAAGAAGGGAATGATTTTAACTTGGAGGACATCACAGAGGTCATTTGGTGTTGCCCTTTTGTGGTAGGCACTGGTGAGGGGCCACAAAAGAGCCTGCCAAGCTTAGCGCCCGATTCCTGGGTTCCTTCTCAGGGCTTTGAAAAAACGGTAAGGAGTCCAGTATTTCCCCCACTTGCAAGCTGGCACATCAACCTGTCACAAGACCCCCCTGGAGCAGACGCAAAGGCCTTTACAAATCAGAGTATAGCAGGCAGCCTGAGCTCCCTGCTCCTGTGTTCCCCTCACCCTCCACCCCCTGAGCTTGGGCGCTGCAGAACAAAGCAATGGGGTGAAGGCATAGTCGAGGAGCCTAAGTCCCATGAGGGGCTTTGGCCTTGGAGGAGACATTATCTTCTGATCCTGGATAGCAAACAATCAGCCCTCTGCCCCACAGCCTCCCTGGCTCCATCTTCCCAGCTGTTTGTCTTGGAATGAAAGCTGCCAGTGCCTCTGCTCACGAGGTGTGCAGAACAGGAGAGACCCATAGACAATTGTCTGCCAATAGACTCATTGGGTCCCTTCTGTTCCCTTTAGGAGAACTGAAAACGTTAGCAACCATTCCAGCAGTCTCCTCCGGAAGAAAGGGGTTCTATTCAATAAAATCCTGAAGTGAAAAAAAAAAAAGTCAATGTGTATTCAGTGGGAAGCACGGCTTAAAGTAAGAGATGGACTACTTTGTCCCAATTCAAGACCTCAGCCCCTGGCTGCCAGCTCTTCTCCCTAGCGGTGGAAGAAATGAAATCTTCCAGGAAGTCCTCAGAGGCTCCAGTCGCTTCTTCCTGTGCTGATGAGTGCAGCCAGCTGGATGACAGAGCTTCTGCTTCAGCTAAACAACAACCTGCCGGTCCATGTAGCTTGGTGATTTTAGAGGGAGATACTGCTGAGTCCAGTATATAAATCCCAGTATGGGCATGAGAAAACCAAATCTGCCTCCTTCCGTGTAGGGAGCACACAGACAGGTCACCAAGTGGAAAGAGTTTTATTCATGGTTTGTGTTTTTTTTTCAACTCTGAGGCAGCATCTGAAGATGGAGTGATGACGAAAACTGCAAGGGTTAGAAGATATTAAACTCTCAGGGAGGAGATGGGGAGATGGCACAGGTCAGAGGGGAGGAAATAGCCCCAGGTGCAACATTGAACTTCATTGTCCTCCAGATAGTGGTGCTCCTCTCTCTCATCCTGAAGTCCAGGTGACTCGGATTGACTGGCTTCTCCGGGTACGGACGTCTTCCTCGTCAGTGGGAGTGAAAGGCTGGACGTTGGCAATGCTAGGTGTTAGAAAAGGGCGTTGCAGAAAGGCTGTGCTGCTGTCCCTGGGGAGCATTATAGCAGCATGAAAGCACACATTCACCGAAGTTACAAGCTGTGTTTCAACAGCACGTCTTTTATGTGTAAGGGAATAGGTCTGGGAGAAAAAAGCAACCTACCTATATCTAATATTTATGGAGGAACTAAGCATGAGATGCAAGTCTTAAGACCCTCTTCTTCCCACACCTCCACACACCGTTTAAGTATGTAGTTTTTGCTCCTTAATAGGCTTATTATAAAGGGTAGTCAATTGGAGAAACTGGGGGGTCGGTTTTGGGTCTGAGTTTGAGTTTATGTGGCATCAAATTCTTTAATTTCAGAGGCTATGTTTCGTTTGCCAGATTCTACTACATATTTATTTGTATGAATCCAGCCCTCCTGCCTTTTTCTTTCTCTTTTTCTTTTTTTAATCCTCACCCAAGGATATGTTCTTATTGATTTGAGAGAGAGAGAGGAACGGAGTGAGAAAGAGTTAGAAACTGATGTGCGAGAGGAACATCAATTGGTTGCCTCCCACACTTGCCCTGAGAGTGGATTGAGCCTGCAACCTGGCTTTGTGCCTGTCTGGAACCCACAGATGCTGCAACCCAGCCAGGGCATACTTCTGCTTTTCTCCTACCTGCCAATTGAACCTGACGTAAGCTTTGCTGACCAGTCCTTTTGACAGACCTTTGCTGTCAGCAATCTTCCAAAAATGGATCCTGCTGCGTAGCTAATCCAGCAGGAGGGTGTGCTCAGCCCATTTTAATATGCCGTGGGATACATTCGTTCAGATGGAAAAGTATGTTTGTTGAATTGGGGCAAGCATAATCTGATCCCCGCGTGGGCAATTTAGAATGCAGCTAGAGCAAATTCATGAATTTAATTTGAGTTGAAGAAATAGTGGAAAACAAATTTTGGCAAGTCATGTTAAGACAAACTTAATTTATTGTCTTTAAATGAACTGAACGTTTGTTTGTGTTTTCATAGATCTTTATCACCGATACCTAGAAAGTCTGAACACTCTAAGCAAAGATGTTCTAATGAGCCTTATTGCTCCGACCATAGGAAGGATCTGAAAAGATCTGCTTGCAGAATGAGCCACAAGAAACACCAGAGTAAACCAAGGATTCCTTCTCGTGAAGATGCACATTACCGATGTTATGAACATAGATCACCTTCTCCAGACGCAAGAAGCAGCTTACCAGACGATTTTTATTCTAATAAACTTTACCAAGCATATTCACCAAGAAGAAGAGACAGTAGCAGATCTCAGTATCCGTCCAGATACTCAGAAGATGTACACTACCAAGAGTATGGCTGGGGTTATCCTGAGAAAATGCAAGGAGGGTATACTCCTGATGAGCACAGAGTTAGAAGTGGAAAAGGAGAGCAATCACCGCAGAGGTCAATGGCAGATTCTTTGAGATTTGTAGACAACTGGCATGAAGATGAGTCGAGTCACCAGAGGATGCAAGATGAAAAACATTGTCAGTCACTTAGAAGAGGCTCGGAAGATTTTGAGAAACGGAGCGCTTTTCAGACAAGGTACAGGATAAATGAAACCTGGGTAATTTGGTCCAAAGCCTCAAGTAAAAAGGTGTGTTTATAGTTGAAGACAACCACCTTGAAAAGCTTTTGTCTGAAAAGATCAAAAGCATTGCAATGTAGCTGTCTACAGGTAGTAGTAAAATATTTGTTTTTAGAATAAATCATGTGGATAGCTAGAATATCCTATATAATAAAAGAGCAACATGCTAATGATCCGTTAAGCCTCATACTTAACGACCAATTGCATAACAAACGGATCACCGATCTGCAGGGGATAGCTACAGTACAGGGCAGTGGATAGCTACAGTACAGGGCAAGCAAACGGGAGGCTGAGATCTACTGGAGGGGGCAGGGCAGCAAGCTATGAAGTGGGGGCTGGGGGGTGGGGCCTACAGGAGGGCAGCAGCGACCTACTGGCACACGTGTGCAGGGCTACTAGTTTATTTATTTTTTTAGTTTAAAAATGAAATGGTATTTCCTCTCTAACTACCTTGAGCCTCTGAGAGTTGGCGTGAAGGATTAGAGGGTAACTTTGCCACTGCATTCTCCATTTAAAGCCATGCTACCCAATACTCCACAGATAGAAGTTCTTGCTTTCTTCTCTGTAGTGCGAAGTATAAATTGCTTTATGTCACCACAGGTATTTTGAAGATCGCGATTGCAGAAAATATAGACAGGCACCCGAAGTATCTTCAGGCGAGAAGAGGTTTGAAAACAATAACCCTTCTAGAAATTCACACCGGAGATCCAGGCATAATCCTTCACCTTACCAGCAAAAGAAAGAGCCGCAGCACCTTCGATACCGAGCATATAGAGCTCATCAACATGCTCGCAGGAAGCCCCCAGAGGCCAGTTCAGTAACCAGGGACTATCACCACGAACATCGTAAGACCTCAGATGAGGACCAGGGCTTTTCTGATGGACGAACTGAGAAATTCTCTAAAGAGAAAGACAGAAAATGCCTTTCTCAAATTGGCCTTGCAAAAATACACCCCAGTTATGTTAATGCTAGAAGAGACAGAGAGATTGAAGATGGGCAAGTCCAAGAAGCTTCTGAACCATTTAAGAATGACTATACTCCCTCTACTGACTCAGATAAAAGCAATGTTATTTTGAGACCCTATATTGGCAAACGGAAGAGGAAAAGGAACAAAGGAAGGGATGTCAAAAGACAGAAGAACTCTTCCAGTAACCAATTTGGTGAAGGGAATCATTCATCTGCTAGTCTTCGGAAGAAATCAAAATCACTTATAGTTAAAATAGATGTGAAGAAGACAGTAAATACACCCAGGTATTGTTTTTTTTTTCTTAATGATATTTAATATCTATTTTGCCAGCTTTATTAGAAGCTTTGAAAATGAAATTAGTAGTGTGTTTAGAGTCCATTAAGGGGGAGGAATTGCCTAGACTTTTTTTTTTTTTTTTAAAGCCCTTTAATGAGGATGAATCTCATGATTAGTAACATGAGCTGATACGTTTGCTTGTTTCCACGTTGTATCTTCAGATGCTATTTTGGGGCAGAGCATCCTATGGAGTTGTTCTCCATTAATTTGCATGTTATTATGCTGCCAGGTTCTCTGTATTCAAGGATAAGCTGGGTGGAATTCAAGGAGACCTGTTCCTTGCTCAGTTTCTCAGAGCCTATTTTCCCTATTGCCTGAAATTCAGAGAATTTTTACCTGGAAGGGACCTTAGAAGGCCCTGATTTTATAGAGCCAGAGAGTGAGGCCGTGCGATGTGAAGCGACTTGTTTAAGTCAGAGTGCATGGGTCTCAAATCTGTGCGATCCCTTGTGACTCAAAGAAGCTGGTGACTTAGCGTGGTTCTTGATGCTATCTCAGAAAGACTGGGGCTCACTCAACCTGCTAGGTTCTCCTAGCTATAGGGAATTAGGCTAGAGTCTAGAAGGGGCCTATTTATAACATATTTGGTTTAGCTCTAATGATTTAAAAAATAGACTACTGCTGTAATAGGTTATATTCTACTAAAGCAGTTTTGCATGCTTTCTTGCATTTATGAATATTACTTCTCTTTATGAATTCTGAGAATAAGGCACTGCATTTGGCTATTTCAGTTAAGTCTGTTCATTACTTTAATACACCACCAGTATGTGGATAAAAGTGATGGACCATGTTGATTTGGTGCATTTACGTTCACCGTTGACTCATATATCTGTTTTTGAATAAAAAATAAGTGATGGGCCCGGCCAGTGTGGCTCAATGATTAGGCATCATCTGTGGGTCACAGTTCGATTCCTGGTAGGTTCGATTCCGGTCAAGGTGTGTGCTGGGGATTATGGGCTTGGTCCCCAGTGGAGGGCATGCAGGAGGCAGCTGATCAGTGATTCTCTCCCATCATGGGTGTTTCTGTTTCTCTCTTCCTATCTCTTCCTCTCTGAAACCAATAAAAAAAACAAACAAAAGTGATAGACCACATTGATTTGGTACATTTTAGTTTCAGAGTTGACATATCTGTTTGAATAAAAAACAAGAGAAAACAAAATCCAAGCTTAAGATGTGACAGGGAATTAATGTTGGAAAGAAATCCAAAGTCACTCCCCCCCTTTTTAAATTTTTAAATTTTTATTTTTTACAAAAACTATTTTGTCCTTTTTCTTAAAGTTAGGCATGGCAGCTCCCTCCCTCATTTGTTTTTGCACTTGCAAAATATACATATGTATATTTATATGTGCGTAGAAAACATATACAAGTACAATTACAGTACAGAAAGACACATACAGATGGGAAAATAATCCATAATCCTAGGGCAATTTTATTAATATTTTAGTATAATTCCTCTTATTATTTTCTATGTATATTTTACGTGGTTGTCATATTAATCCTCTTATATAATAAAGCCCTAATATACAAATCGACCCAATGGCTAAATGACTGGTCGCTATGATGCACACTGACCATCAGGGAGCAGGCGCTCAATGCAGGAGCTGCCCCCTGGTGGTCAGTGCGCTCCTATAGGGGGAGCATCGCTCAGCCAGAAGCCGTTCCATGGATGGCGAGTGCATTGGGGGTGGCAGGAACCTCTCCGCCTCTGAGGCAGTGCTAAGGACCCCTCAGGGTCCCGGACTGCGAGAGGGTGTAGGCTGTGCTGAGGGACCCCCCAGTGCACGAATGTCATGCACTGGGCCTCTAGTGCATTAATAATTTTGTATTCTATTTCATATAATATGCCTTAAATTATTGTGTGCTATTATATTTTCTACTATTCTTCATTTTAAGAGCACAAAGGCTGCTATAAACATCAAATTTAGAGATGTTAAGCTCTTTTTCTTTCCAACATTATATCATGAAAATGTTCAGATACACAGAAAAGTTGAAAGAATTATACATTGAACACCTATATACCCACCACCTAGAGTCTACAATTGATATTTTGCTCTACTTTTATAATCACATATCTATTCATCTATTCATCTGTTGTTCCATCTTATTTTTTGATGCATTTCAAAGTGAATTGTAAATATCAGTATACTCCCTTTTAAATACTTCACTATTTAATTTTTGTTTATAGTTTTTTTCTTTTGTTGTAAAATTACATATAATCAAAACATAAAATGTCTTGAATTCTTTTATAAAAGTAATGATACCCCCGCATTTAATAATGAAGTATTTTATACTTAAAAGAGAAAAATTGGCTGTAACGCTTTTTGTTTGTTTTTTAATCCTCATCCAAAGAGTGAGGATATTTTTCCCATTGATTTTTAGAGAGAGTGGAAGGGAGTAAGGAGAGGGGGAGAGAGAGAGGGAGGAGAAAGAAACATCAGTGTGTCTCATGTATTAGTTGCCTCCCACATGTGACCCAACCTGGGGCAAGTTTAGAACCTGTAACACAGGTATTGTGCCCTTGTCTGTAATCGAACCCAAGACCCTCTGGTGCAACACTAATCAGTGAGCCATGCTGGCTCAGGCTGGCTATAGCACTTTTAAGAGTACTAGAAGTAGCAATTTTGAAGGGTTTCATTTTAAAGATACTGAACACTATTAGTTTTATATTATGATATTGAGAAATGGTAGCTTGATCTTCATCATGTGCTACAAAAGTGAGCTTGCTAAAATTGAGGCTGCTATACTTTTTTGTGAATTTATAAACTATAATTTTGTGAAATTTCATGGCCTATCAGTGGGACCTGTCAGCATGTTTGAATTACCTGACAAGAACCTGAAAGATGGCTTATATAATAAAAATCTTCCACTAAAAATCCTTTCTATTAAAAAAGCTGAAGAATGAATAACTTAATAACTATATGCATCTTTTCAGTCTGCTAAAGCATAATGCTCAACAAACTTTTTGTTGTAATTATTTATTGGCTAATGAGTTGTGGAAGAGTTTTGTGGGGTTGGGTCGAATTATGTATGGACTAATGAAGTATCCATAAAACAAAAGTAGTTAATGCCAACCTCAGTAGAGTCATGTTCTCAACTATTACTATACATTAGATTTTCTTCTACTTACAAATATTAAACTGCTCCTAGAGTGGGGAGAGAAGTATGTTGGTTAAAATCTAGAGCGTTTATCCACTTTTTTGGGAAAGATTAAGATGGTTCATTTTGTGATTTGTTTTCATAGCCTTGGTCAAGTATTGACACATTTAGTTAAAAACATATGGCTATCACCTAGTGATTTTTCTAGATTCCAGTTTGTATGTAGAGCAACAGTAAATAGGTACTTATTTGAATGATCACTGCATAATTCTAGTGACCCTCTTTGTCAGAAACTGCATCATCAGAGGTAGAAGTTATATATGTCTCATAATTATATGTTTCAGAATGTAAGTTAGGGAGTCACAATATGAACCCCCCAAAAACCTGTTGTGTACATCTGGAAGTTTGGGGGCACATAGAGTTGTGGCTTACTGCTGGGCTCAGTGGTAGGAAGGAAGTGGAGGGAGGAGCAGGGGATGTCTGTCTTTGGAGAAGAATAGCTGGTGCAGATGGGCCCGAGGCTCCTCTCCCCTCCCTGGTGCTGGTGTTAGATATCTAGGATGGGAAGGTTGGCTAGCAAAGTTGATACTGGACTGAGCATATTAGCCACAATTGAATCCTTGTATTTCTTACGGAAGGAAAACAAAGAGGATCTCCCTACCCCCGTCTTATCTTTTCCCATTCTGAAAGGGGGTAAGGTGGGTAATGGTCCTCAGAAGACGTTGGAGCCCTGGTGATCTGAGGAAAGGGGTTCAGTGTAGGTGGGGGAACAGTGTAAAAAGCCATAGCGAGGACTGAAAGAGGGTAACCTAATCACTCAAGTTTGCCTATGCTAGGCACTGTTCAGCTGGAGGCGGAAGCAGCTGTGGGTGGAGATATTTTTGTGATATATAAGCCTGCTACCTCACTGTTATGTATCATCAAAAAGTAAGGCTTTTCCTCCCTAAAATATTTCATATATAATAAAAAATTAATGGAGAGAAGATTCCCTTTTATTTCTATCACCCTAGCTTCTCCTAGTGGTTCTCAAGAGTTCTAATATAGGGAGGTGAACATTCTGTTTGGGGTTGGGGTACATAGGTTTTTGTCTCCTGGAGGGTCACTGAGTAGTTCTGTGACATTGGGCAGGCCAACTGGCCATGCCTTTTTGGGCCCAAATTAACCTGCATTTCCTCCTGGCTATGTGAGTCTGCTCCAATTGGCCGGTAACTATTGAAGTTGGATTGACAGGCTCATCATAGTATTCTCTGAAGTTTTGTGTATATTTGAGATTCTATATCATAAAAAATTTAAATTTTAAATTGCTCTAGATTAAGTAAAATTTTGAAAATAAAAAGTAAGCCAAGAAAGTTAAAAAACAGAATTAAATTGGCTTCATTAGAATTTGGAAGTCTGTTAATCTTTAAGCGGACGCTCATTTGAAATTATCTAAATCATTTTCTGTTTATCATTTATTCACTCAGCAGGTGTCTTTTGAGGATCTACCGTGTCTGAGACAGCTTATCAGGGTACCCTGGGACTAGATGGGCATAAGATTAGGCTTCTTCTCCTCTGGTCTCACAGACAATAGGACGCTGTTGGTAATACCTTGGCGTAGTGAGTGATGTATGACGTGGTGTCCCACTCCAGTGATCTCCAGCTGGGACACTTAGGGAAGACTTCTTTCAGGAGTTGACACAAAGCTAGGCTTTGAAGGTTTAGGTGTGTTTTAGACACGTGATGACAAGATGAAGGACATTTCATGTTTATAGATTAACAAAGGCAGAAACCACACGCAGGGACTGTGGAGGCACAGGAGGCTGTGAAGGCAGGACCGCCACACACCAGCCTGATTTGACAGGATTAGCTGATCGGAGAGGACAGGTGGCTCAGCTCTGCTGCCAGGGGAGCACCTCTGAGGAGGCGTGGAGGACATTGGAGTTGGCAAGGCCAGTGAGGGGACTTCTGTGAAACAAATAATGAGATGCACAATTAAGGGAGTAGCAGTCTCCCTAACTCTTTTTCCCTCAGTCCCCAAAATTCTAAATGTATTCTTCAGAAGACAGGAACGAATTAATAATTATTTATGAATTAATAATTGGGAAAGTGCTTTATGAATTTATGTACAAAATGTTAATTATATTTGGGAGAAAACTAAGAAAAGAAAACCTTATGTGTTTTATGGATTTTGTTACCTATTACAAGCTTCTAAAGAGCAGCATTTTTGTTTGTTTGTTTATATTTTTATTGATTTTAAAGAGGAAGGGAGAGGGAGAGAGAGAAACATCAATGATGAGAGAGAATCATCGATCACTTGCCTCCCGCACACCCCCTACTGGCGATTAAGCCTTCAACCCAGGCCTGTGCCCTGACTGGGAATAGAACCTGGGACCCTGTAGTCCACAGGCCAGTGCTCTATCCATTGAGCAACCCGGCCAGGGCAGGATTTTTTTTTTATTACTGTTGTTTTGCCATGCAGTGATGTTTTTTGTTTTTTGTTTTTTTATTTTTTAATGAATCTTAGTTGTATATAAGAGGAAATTAAGGTTTAATGTAGCTTTATATGTTTTTTTATTATGTATAACACTCAGAACATAAGGGAAAATATCATTAAACAGAAAAAATGGGGAGGGGTTGAGATTTAATCAGACTAGTTTAAAATACAGATATTTGGCTATATTTAATTTTTTTTTTTTTAATTCACGAACCTAGATATGTGCCCTGACCAAGAACCAAGCCCGCAACCTTTCAGTGCATGGGACAATGCTCTAATTAAGCCACACCAGCTAGTGCTATATTTTAATTTTTTACTATCTAAAATTCATCCCAGTGAATATTTGGTCTTTTAAGTTTAGCTACTTGTATTAGGGATATTTCCTGAAATTGTTAAATTGCTCATCAATAATGTCACAGGAAATAGTAAAAAGGAAAATGTGAACTAAGGTGATTAAATTTATAAATGTAAATAGCTAGAACATTTTTTATTCTCAAGTCTCAAGAAGGTTTCTAATATAGCAAAAGCATAATTGTCTTTAAAAAACTAAAATTTGTCGGGACTGGTTTGGCTCAATGGATAGAGCATCGGCTTGGGGACTGAAGGGTCCCCGGTTCAATTCCGGTCAAGGGCATGTACCTTGGTTGCGGGCACATCCCCAGTAGGGGGTGTGCAAGAGGCAGCTGATCGATGACTCTCTCTCGTTGATGTTCCTAACTCACTCTCTCCCTTCCTCTCTGTAAAAAATCAATAAAATATATTTAAAAAATAAAATAAAAATCTAAAATTTTATGTTATATTATTTTCATGGATATTTTCTAGAAAATAATTATTTTAACTTTTTTTATTAATAATCTTGCAGTGGAGTAACCCTGGGATACATTTTTTAACCGATAGCAAGTTGAAACACTAATATTTGAGGAATTAAATACAGCTTCACTGTATACCACATTACTCCTATGTATTGAGGGTTGGGCATGGAGTGGGTATAAGAGTTATGTCAGGAATAATAAATTACATGTAAATTTTAATAATTACTGAAAGCATTTATCAACTTGTTTCCTCTTGGGAAAACTGAGGCTATAATAAAAACTTAACTGATTCCCTCTTATGGATATATTCTTATAGTTGTATTTAAATCTTATCTTTCTTCTATAAAATGTTTTTAAAAGTTATGTTATTCCCTGGTATGGCAGGCTTTTTGTACCATAAAGACCCTTTAAACAGAGAGCATTTATAGTTTTTGTTAGTGAAGGTTGTTACATGTTACAGGACCATTCTAGCTTCTAGCTCTTATCACTAAATGCCTCCTAGCTAGTTATCAGATACACAATAGGAAGCTTGGAGCAAATTAGAAGAGAAGGGAAATGGGCCTTCTCATGAACATCTTTTTTTAAAAAAAATATTTTATTGATTTTTTACAGAGAGGAAGGGAGAGATAGAGAGCTAGAAACGTCAATGAGAGAGAAACATCGACCAGCTGCCTCTTGCTCACCCCCTACGGGGATGTGCCCGCAACCAACGTACATGCCCTTGACCGGAATCGAACCCGAAACCTTTCAGTCCGCAGGCCGACGCTCTACCCGTGAGCAAACCGGTTTCAGCTCATGAACATCTTTTTAATGAATCAAGGAATCCACGGCAGTGGCATCAGCCTGCTGTATAGTCACTTCTCCATGTTCCTGCCTTGGCGGGGAGTTGTCTCAACAGTGCTGATCTGAGAGCAGGGAGCACAGAAAGTCAGATGGAAGCCTTTCCTCGGATAAGTTAAAAATAGGCACTTAAAACCATCTTGTTAGAGGAGGGAAATTAAAACAAAACAAAACACGTTTTATTGATTTCAGAGAGAAAGGGAGGGGAGAGAGAGAAACATCAGTAATGAGAGAAAAATCTTTAATCAGCTGCCTCCTGCATGCCCCCCACTGGGAATCGAGCCCGCAAACCAGGCATGTGCACTGACTGGGAATTGAACCGTGACCTCCTGGTTCTTAGGTAAATGCTCAACCACTGAGCCACACCAGCCGAGCAGGAATACAAATTTTTAATTAAAAAATATGGGCCTGGCTGGGTGTTTCAGTTGATTGGAGCATTGTCCCTTGTACCAAAAGGTTTTGGATTCGATTCCCAGTCAGGGCACATGCCCAGGTTGTGGGTCCAATCCCTATTCACGGCACAAATGGGAGGCAACCAATTGATATTTCTCTCTAAAAAGAACATCTGTAAGCCCTTCATAACCCTGAAACAGTTTTGGGTATATGTCTTTTATGTGACTTAAGCAAATAAGTAAATCTGTGCACATGTACACTCACACCCCCAAATGTATCCATTTGGTTGGTTTTCATTATATGAAGACGTATCATTTTTTTTCCAATGGTGCTGCTGTATTTATTTATTGATTGCTTGGTTGGTTTACTGGAGTAAGGAAAGCTTTGTTGATGGAGAAGGTGCCAACCAAGAAGATGGGATCTATGCTGCTGTTACATAAAACGCTGGAAGCCTGATACATAAAATTCATGCAAGAGTAGGCCTGCCTTCCCCCAGCTGCTGGCACTGGCTTCCCTCCAGCACCCAGAACCTGGGCTTGTCTCGCAGCCCGGGCTTTGGCTTTGTCCGAAAGGTTGTCTGGAAGGACGTCCGGTCTAATTAGCATATTATGCTTTTATTATAGATATTACGTTTTTTTCCCCCTTGGATGTATCTTCAGAACCTGTAGCATACTCATAAAGTACCCTAGCAGTTATAGATCTCAAATATTTGGACAGTGAACTTGATTTTTGGCAAGAGCCCAAAGCTATTTAGAGTTAAGTGCAGAGGAATAAGATGGGTGTAAGCTGGTTAGTGCCATTTTGTGTTCAAAATGAGGTATAAAGATAACATAATGAGACATTTTCTTCTCTGACACATAAGCTGCCTCCAGATGAAGAATTTAAGAGTGGTTTTAAGCAAGAGCAGCATTCTTGAAATAAGATCTAGTTTCCCATTAGGACACTTGGAAGAATTATGTTCATATGAATGCTTGACCTCAGGCATGTAAAGTAAAATAATCTGGATATCCATGAACTCAGTGCCATGACACTTCCCCATAGGGCTGTTGTAAAGATGAAATGACATCATGTTTGTAAGCTCTAAGCCCCTGTGTTTGGCATACGGTAAGCTCTCAATAATTGTTAGCTATGTGTCATAATAATAGCTTTATAATGGTACCTAAGGGTAAGCAGAGCTCTTAATGAAAGTTATAAAGATTCAGAAAGCATTAAAGTTGTGAGATAGCTGGGTTTATATAATAAACAGTAGCATTTCTTTAAGGATACATTTAGGGTAAACACTATAATTAGTTCTAATGATCATAACTTTGCTAACAATTGAGACTATTTTCTGAGAGTTTAGTAAGATTTTCTAAGTAATTATATTAATCTCAACAGAATTTAATTTCAAAATATTATTCTAAGCTTCTCATTACTGATATAGAGATAGAAGGATTTCAGTGAAGTCAGAGAAGTTATTATGTAGGATAACAGCTTTTAAAGTGTGATATTTTAAGATACTATAAGCTTGTTGGATTTATAATTTTATGGATATTTGGGAGTAGAAAATCTAATTGATTATTTTTTGCATATAGAGTGTATTTAATGCCTTGCTGTATTGTTAAAGTAAAAATTATTTAACTCAGTATTTTGAGATTCTTATTAAAGTGGCAAATATTTTATGATCTCTGATTTGAAAATAACTCAAAACCATGCATCTATTGCTATTTTCTTCGCATCATTGTACACATTTTATGGCATACAATTTAGTGCCTTAATTATAAACATCTTTTTAGTTTTGTAGCTATCTTCATTAATTTTTAGTAAGTGTTTTTCTCAGTAAAATACTTTCAAATTTATACTTACAAATTATCTAGCATTCCTTTTAGCATAACAGAGAGACAGATGTCACGTGATCTGGTTGCTGTTGGCAGGAAAAGTGAGGACTTGGATCCAGCCTTTGAACAACTTTACTCAACTCAGAATACTGAAAACAAAGCTGCAGGAGAATTTGCTCAGGAAATCATAACTGTAATTCATGAAATTAAAGGTTGGTATATTTTGCACATCCATTAGGGGTAACACAAGAATAATGTACTGACTTTTCACGAGATATAGGAAATCATCTGTGATATTGTAATAGTAATTCATATTCATTATAGCTAGATCATTAATTAGCAAATCTATTGAAGAGAGTAGCAGATATTAATTCAAGCCTAGTTGTTTATTTAAGTATTATTTTAAAAAGTACTAGACTCTCAAGGTAGCATGACACCTAGGCCTAGTAATGCTTTATATATAGTTCCAATAACCTGGTGCTTCAACTCATAGTAAATTATAAATCAAAAGTTACAAAGGGAGAGGTTGCCTGCTGCAAAAGACCTGTGAATTGGAGCAGCAAGAAAAAATAACTGATAACGGAACATGAAGGAGGAAGCAACAAAAAAAATATGAAATAAGAATTCTGGTGTGTCCTATCCGGTTTGGCTCAGTGGATAGAGCATTGGCCTGCAGACTGAAAGGTCCCAGGTTCGATTCCGGCCAAGGGCATGTACCTTGGTTGCAGGCACATCCCCAGTAGAAGGTGTGCAGGAAGCAGCTGATCGATGTTTCTCTCTCATCGATGTTTCTAACTCTATTCATCTCCCTTCTTCTCTTTAAAAAAATCAATAAAATATATATTTTTTTAAAAGCTGGTGATATTCTTTTAAAAAAAATACTTTTTCTTGATTTCATAGAGAGGAAGGGAAAAGGGGAGAGAGATAGAAACATCATTGAGAGAGAAAAATTGATTGGCTGCCTTCTGCACACCCCTATCTGGGGAATGAGCCTGTAACCCAGACATGTGCCCTGATCAAGAATGGAGTCTGAGACCTCCTAATTCATGGGATGACAATCAACTGAGCCACCACACAGGCTGGGCTGGTGATATTCTTTTTTTTTTTTTTTAATATATTTTTTATTGATTTTTCACAGAGAGGAAGAGAGAGGGATAGAGAGTTAGAAACATCGATGAGAGAGAATCATCGATCAGCTGCCTCTTGCACACCCCCTACTGGGGACGTGTCCGCAACCAAGGTACATGCCCTTGCCCGGAATCGAACCCGGGACCTTTCAGTCCGCAGGCCAACGCTCTATCCACTGAGCCAAACCGGTCCCGGCAAGGCTGGTGATATTCTTAATGCCCCTGAGGGCATTATAGGACTTTGTGCCAGGAGGGTGATGCTTAGTGATCAATAAAATATTCCAGCTGGTTTGGCATACTTTATAACATTAGGGAGTTGCATAATACGTACTTTAAAGATTTGCATTTACTTGTTTTGTTATGCTGGCCAATTTCTATTAATTGAAAAATTAGTCATGTAGAACAACTTTCCTAAATGATCCTGCATAAATAAGGCAATTATGGGTATTATAAACTAGACAGCTTTGAGAATTCCAAAATTTTATTTTATATATCTCACTAGATTGCATTAATCTTTTCTTACATTCATAAAAATATATTTCAGAAATGAATTATTTTATCTGCATCCCTCGAACTAAGGCATATATTTACTTAGAAATATAAGGTCTAAAAACAATTTGCCTTCTTAGTTCCAGCCCCTCTTACCCAAAGGAAGTGTGATTCTTGGCAGAAAGGGAGCTGACATTGCAGAACAATAACTGCAAGTTAGGAAAAATGTTTGTTTAAGTAGCATTCTGATGAGTCAAGTGTATTATCTTTCTATCCTGTTAAAAGCCTGCAGCATAGCTGATTTCAGAATGTCTTCATGAACTTCTGTTAATGTTAAATGGCATTAGGAGGCCTTCTGTGATATGTAAACATAACATTTAACATTTGTTCAGAATCATTTTTATATTTCTGGGTTGTTTTTAGAGTTACTTTTCACTTGAGGTGAACTAGAGCTTCTCAATTACAGTAAGTAGTTCCTGTCTTGAAGGAGAAAGCTCCTCACTTTGAGGAAGCTACTGTCTTTGTCCCCAATAAGTAAGCGGGCATGCCAAATAGGAACAGCATCTATGGTTTAATAAATCAGGTTTGTTAGTATTGCTTGAGCTTGAGAAAGCATGACAGCAATACGAATTAGTCTGTAGAATGTTAGGTCCCACATATTTTCAAGAGAAAACAGTTTGGATGATTTTTAATAATCCCTTCTTCCTGTGCTTATATATATAATCTTTTAAAAGCAATCAGTTTTACACTGAGATAAAACTTTCCCCCTTTCTTCCCCCCAGCAAATCATTTTCCATCACCTGGCATTACTCTACATGAGCGTTTCTCAAAAATACAAGATATACAAGCTATAGAAGGCGCAAAAGAAACTAAACCGACTTTAGATCCAGAAATGTGCAGGTAATGATTAATTAGTGTATGCCCACTTAACTCATGTGAATAAGCCTCGGAAGAGATGTGGGAAGGTGCTGCCTCCTGGGCTTGCTGTAGACTCCAGGACTGGATTTCCTCCCTAACAATAGGACAAACCCACGCGGGTACTGGGCCTGTGCACTGTGATGGGATAGGTTGTCCTGAAGCCATTGACTAGCACTGTTTAATGTGGAGGACTTTGAAAATATTTTCCTACCTAACTTGGATTCTGCTATGTCTATAGTAATTGCCTAGCGAAGTTCTCACTGGAAGAATGAAAGACAGTTGCTGAGCCATTGAAATCATGGGTTGCTTCATGTGGTCAGAAATGGCTGTTCTGAGAACAGCTGGATGAAAACATATGTCTGCTGCTACTGGCACCTGTTTTGTGAGCTGAGTTGAATCAAGGTTAGACTGCAGCAGATCACTGGAGTAAAGTTTGAGGTTATACACACTCATGATTTGAGAATCACCAAGGTGTCTCTGGGGTGTTCAAAGGACATGTATGTCTTGGGAAACAGCCACATAGATGAAGAACTACCTGGTGGCAAGTTTCTTTTGCTTCCTCCAAGACATACTAGTTTTACTTCAAATTCCATTCTGTAGTAATGGAATCGAGGTATCAGGGTATAACAATTATTTGATTGTAATATGCCTTTATTATTTTAGGAAAATAGACATGTGTTTGGCCGAGCTTCGGAATAAAAATACGGTATGTGGTTCAGAACAGGTAAGTGGTTACAATTCTTGTTGTTGGCATAAGGAACAGGAAAGGGAACTGGGGATTGGGAGTAACAATAAGGGAATTAAAGTGGATGAAAAATAAGGATTGGAATAAGAATCTGAAACTTACAAAGCTCTCCATGGGATCTATAATAGTTATTGGCCAGGCTGTAGAAAGACAACTGACAAAAGACAAGAGAGACAGTCCCTAAAGGCAACAGCTTTGTAAAATCGATACAAAATTAGAACATTTAATATTCATTCCAAAACTTTACACTGCAAAGCTTCTAGAAAGTATGTTTGACACCTAGTTTTTCCAAAGTATACTTGCATAATGTATTTTTAAGTTGTATATAGAGGAGAATGCAAAAGCACTTAGTTTTATTTGATATTGCCCTTCTGTTTATTGTACAATGTGTGAAAGGGCATATGGAATATGAACTAGAAAAATAATGGAAATAATACTGACTTTTTTTTATTGTCACCTGTTGTGTGTGGTGGTTCCCACTCCAAGCCTCCCATCACTCCCACCCATTTCTTGGCTAATTACAAAAGCTATCTTAACTAGCCAAGGGGGAAGAAAACTGGCTCTTATTTTAGAAGTATATTAAGTTCTAAAAGAGTTGCTGGTTTATTCATTGAGAGTAAAGAGTTTTTGTTAGGGGAGAATTTAATACATTTCTGATAGAATAAATAATTGTTTTACTTGTGAATGGTCACAATTTTTACTGAACTTAAGGAGTTAGGTTAGTTTATTAAATAATTGAAATTTTCAGAAAATTTCTACTTATCAAAGTACTGTAATGAACTGAAAGGAAATTTGAGGGTTTTTAGAAATTAGAGGCTAAAAAAAATTCTCTAACCCTTAACACAAAATCTGGTTTGGGCAGTCCTACATCTGGCATTTTAGCATAGTCACTATTATAGGATAGGCAGTTCTCTATGCTTTTTTCTTTTTAAACTGTAGTAATACTTTTTATGTAAAAGCTCTGAATTCCTAAGCCCTTTTATGATTGAGACTTTTAAGTTTCAATTAAATTTTTTTTCAAACACTTTTCAGTAAGTGTTTTTCTATGGTAACTTCCACATTAGCATAATTTAAATGCTTGTACATTATTCCTTTGACTTAAATTTACCATAAAATCATTCTTCCCTTCCCCTTTAATTTTTTTAATATTTAAGTTGCTTTCCATTGTTTTGTTGTTGTTATTTTAAAAATAGCACTTTGAATATATTTGGGTAGATAGCCTTTTCTTTTGGGATAGAGTCCCAGAGTAGGATTCCTGCTTCAATGCCATAAGCTTTACTTACTCTGGAGCTAATAATATTTTTATCAGTTTACACTACAATTAGTAGGATGAGTACAAGGTAACTTATTTAGGACTTTTACTTAAAGTTCTTTTTAGATATGGTCTTTGTGCAACTAACAATGTGAATGGTTTGTCTTCTGTCAAAATTCCTCAGACTCTGGTCAAAGTAATAGATCCAAATGACCTACGACATGACATTGAAAGAAGGAGAAAGGAACGGTTACAGAATGAAGATGAGCACAGTTTTCACATAGATAGTGCTGCAGAGAGGTAATCAGTAGATGAAAAACATCCTGTTATCAGGGAGTTTTTGATATCAGTGTATACTTTTCAATATTTTTGTGTGTGATGATAATTTTCATTTTAGCAGAGGGATTTAATCCTTCAAATCTATTTTATATGTTTAGGTAGAATGTATTAAAAGTTATTCACTGATCCTCCTATGCTGTTTGATTTAAACAACAAGAATTATGAGGAGCAGGTGAATATTTGAGGTTTTGATAATTTGAGAAAGGAGTATAACAGCTTTTTAAATATTAGCAAGAGCCAGGACCAGCAAGTTTATGGATTATTTGGCTCTAGCTGATTCAAACTTTGACACATTTGGCCCTTTAGATTCTGGTATTCTTTGAATATTGCTAAATTTGCTGAGGTCAGTGCAGTTCTCTTTCAGAACTCTTGATGAATGTCTGACCATAAAACAGGCAGGTGTAGTAGAAAATGCAAAGGAACCCTAGCCGGTTTGGCTCAGTGGCTAGAGTGTTGGCCTGCGATGGAAGGATTCTGGGTTCAATTCCATTCAAGGGCACATGCCCGGCTTGTGGGCTCGATCCCCAGTAGGGGGCATGCAGGAGGTAGCCGATCAATGATTCTCTCTCATCATTAATGTTTCTCTCTCCTCCTCCTCCTCCTCCTCCTCCTCCTCCTCCTCCTCCTCTCTGAAATAAAAACATATTTAAAAAAGAAAATGTAAAGGAGACCGGAGTTTGAACCCCATCTCTGCCAGGTTGTAAGCTCTTGGACATACTTGCTTAGTTTCCTCTCTAAAATGAGAATACTTAATTGGAGAAGTTAGAATAGTAAATGGGCTGGTACATGCAAAATACATTTACTGACAATTGATTGGCAGTAGATTCTTGTCTTTCTTTCCCCATACTTAATGCCTCTTTTTAGGGGATCTGGGTATTGTAGGATGGCCCAAGTTCATTTCTAGTTCTAAAAACTATGTGGAACTCATGGCAATGGAGGGACCCCATGTGATTATGTAGTATAATTGAATGGGACAAAATTTCCAGTTCACCCTAATAGTCCTCATGCTATTTGGATCACCCAGAAAATGTAAATATATGACTAGAAAAGGCAAATGCTAATTCCCTTTCCATGGTCCTTAGTGTCAAATTACTGATATTTGACTAGACTTTTAAATATATATATATTTATTTCAGAGAGGAAGGAAGAGGGAGAGAAACATCCATGATGAGAGAGAATCATGGATTGGCTGCTTCCTGCAAGTCCCCCACTGGGAATTGAGCCCACAACGTAGGCGCGTGCCTTTGACCAGAATTGAACCCAGGATCCTTCCATCTGTAGGCTGACGCTCTAACCACTGGGCAAAACAGGCTAGGGCTTAACTAGACTTTTAAGTCAAGTCTATGATTAACTAAGTCTTAAGTAAAAATATATGGAGTTTGTTTAAAACTGGACTTGATTCTGACAATAAATTTGGGGCCAATGAAAAGATAGCAAAACTGTATTGAGGCATATAAAAAATTGAAAGTAAAATAGTAGCTCAGCCTTCGAGGCTCAGTGGTTGAGTGTTGGCTTATGAACCAGGAGGTGACGGTTCAGGTTGCAGGCTTGATCCCCACTGTGGGGCATGAAGGAGGCAACCAATCAATGATTCTCTCTCATCGTTCTCTCTCATCATCCTCTCGCTCCCTCTTCCTTCCTTTCCAAAATAATAATAATAAAAAAAGTATATGTTTTTTAAAAGTTTAAATCTCATTCCTTGGTGGGTGAAAGTGTCCAGTTTCCTAAGATGACACAGCATGACTGCTGTTTAGTGACACAAGCTCTCATGCTTTTCTTGACTCAGCAAGTGTAAGAGACTAAGTGTACAAAAGAAAGAGGATTTTAAAACTAAGATAATCATATTATAAAGACCATGAATGCTTCAGAATATATCTTCACCCTTTGAGCACTGAATTCAACGCCTGGCTCTGTAGTGACTGACATTAAACAATATATTTCATCTCTATTTCCTCGGCTGCAAAACAGAGATAAGAATGAGACTTACCTCACAGTGGTGGCTAAGGCTAAGTAGAGTGATGCATGCAAGGTCCAGAGTAGCTGGTCAGTGATACCTATGTCACTGTTTGCTTTGAGGATGGTGTTGTGGCATGCAAAGATTTTTTTCCTGAAAGATGTCTTTTCCTGGGTCAGATGGTGGTATAGTGGAACCATGAAGTTTTGTGTGTGTTTTTAATTGAGATATTGCCATAAAATCCACCCTTTGAAAGTGAACGAACAATTCAGTATTTTTTTAGTATACTCACAAAGTTGTACAACTGTTACCACCATCTAATTCCAGAGCATTTTCATCACGCCCAAAAGAAACCCTATACCCATTAGTTGTCACTTTTTATATCTCCCTCCGCCCCGCCCCTGGCAACCACTAGTCTACTTTTGTCCGTTTTGCTTTGACTATTCTTGACATTTCATATAATTGCAGGCATCTAATATGTGGCCTTTTGTGACTGTTTTCATGCACCATAATATTTTTTAAAAATATTTTTATTGATTTTTTACAGAGAGGAACGGAGAGAGATAGGAGAGTTAGAAACATCGATGAGAGAGAATCATCCATCAGCTGCCTCTTGCACACCCCCTACTGGGGATGTGCCTGCAACCAAGGTACATGCCCTTGACCAGAATCGAACCTGGGACCTTTCAGTCTGCAGGCCGATGCTTTATGAACTGAGCCAAACCGGTTTCGGCGCACCATAATATTTTTAACATTCCTCTATGTAGCATGAATATTCCTTTTATGGCTGAATAATATTCCATTGTGTGGACATGCCACATTCTGTTTACCCATTCACCAATTGATGGATATTTGGGCTGTTTCTACTGTTTGACAATTGTGAATAATGGTACTATGACATTTGTGTGCAATTTTTTTGTGGACATATGTTCTCATTTCTGTATACACTTAGGATTGCAATTGCTAGGTCATTGATAACTTTGCTGAACTAGGATTAACTTTATAAAAATATTTTATTCGTATAGTCAACCAATATTTATATATTTAATTTCTATGTTTTAGTCATTATTCTAAGCACTGGGCATACAGTGAAAAACTGTGTACCAAGCATTTGCCCTCATGGAGCTTATAATTTAATGGTAAGAGAAAGAAAAAATAGCAAATATATTTCAGTCAGGGTAGGTGAAAGTAAGGCAGAGAGGAACTTTAATATAGTGAGTGTGTGTTATGTTTTTACTTATGATAGTTATAGAATGCACTTATGTTTGTGTGGGGTTTTTTTAATTGAGCAAGGATGTGAATTATGTGAGTTAGCCATAGGATTTTTGTTTGTTTGTTTGTTTTGTTTGTTTTTTGAAGGGTAGTGCAGATGTGAAGACCTTGAGGCAGAATCACACTTGCTCTTGTCTAACGATTAGAAAGGGGCCAGTGAGGTAGGAACACAGTGAAAAAGGGAGAGAGTTTGATGAGGCCAAATTACAAAGGGCATTGGAGAACATGAAGACTTAGTAATTTACTCTGGGAGAGATTAGAAAACAGTTTGGTTTTTAACCCGAGAAGAGACATAATCTCATTAAGTTTTAAAAGGACCACTCTGCTTGTTGGGTGGAAAATGAACTGTAAGAGCTAGAGGAACAATTCTTTCTTTCTCATGTAAAAAAAAAAAAAAAAAAGTCAGAGGCAGCAAGTGAGAGCATGGTAGGGTGGAGCCATTGGAAGCAGGCTCCTTCGATCTTACTCCAGATAGCCCCTCCACACGGCACTTGCCTGGTGGTCCAAGATGAGCATTTGTGCCCTAGCCATCATGTCCACATTCCCGCCTTTTCTTCGAAGACTTCCTGGAATTTACATGTGATGCTTTCGCATCATCAATCTTAACTTAGTCTCCTGGCCATGCCTAGCTGCAGGGAGGCTGGGAAATGTGTTCTTTAACTTGGACACTCATTTGCCTGGTCAAAAATCAAATATCAAAAAGTTACAAAAGTTTTACTGTGATAAAATATGCACATCATACATTTTACCATTTTTAAGTGTACAGTTAATTGGCATTAGGGACATTCACAATGTTGTGCAGCCATTACCACTGTTCACTTCCAGAAGTTTTTAATCTTCTTAAACAGAAACTCTGTACCAAGTAAACTCTGACTCTCCATGCACCATGCCCCCAGCCCCTGATATTCTTTCTGTCTCTGAATTTGCCTATTGTAGATATATATGTAGATTCTTACAGTAGTCCTCCTTTTGTTTCTGGCTTATTTGACTTATAATGTTTTCATCCATGTTGTGTCATATGTCAGAATTCTATTCTTTTTTTAAACTTCATTCCTTTATAAAGCAGGATATAAATATAAAGGAATTTATATTCCTTTATAAATGGAATATATATATTCCATTGTATGGCTACCCTCATCTTGTTTATCTATTTTTATGTTAATGGACATATGGGTTTCCATCCTTTGGCTACTGTGAACATTGGTATTATCATATTCTTTATTATACCACTCTAGTGGGTATAAAGTACTATTTTATTGGAATTTTCATTTGCATTTCTCTAATGACTAATGCTGTTGAGCATCTTTCCATGTGCTTTTTCTGTCTTCTTTGGAAACTATTCAAATCCCTTTGTCCATTTTAAAATTGGATCCTTGTATTTGTATTATTGAGGTATAAGGGTTATTTATAATTCTGGATACCACACCCTTATCAGATATGCACTTTGCACAGAGGATCTTTTAAAGTCCATCATTTTGGTTATAGAAGTAGTAGGACATGCTAGTAGTAAATATCTGAAAAAATATAACAAAAATGAAAAACAAAAACATAAGACATTCTTGATTTAATTAGTTAGAGATGACCACTGTTAATATTTAGTACATTTTCTATCATTTTCTTATTTCTGGGCATATATATGTATATTTTAAATAATTGAAATTATCCTTATGATGTGGCTTTGCACCCTATTTTTTTTTTTTTTTTACTATCATTATCAGGAGCATTTTGACAGAACATAGGGTGGGGTTTTATTTGTGTGGGTTTTTGGGTTTTTTTGTTGTTGTTTTTTTACATTTCAAAAAACCTTGAGTGGCTAATTCATGCCAGGTTCTGGGGTCAGAGCTGAGGCCACCAAACGAACCATCCACGGTGCCTCCTCTGAAGGGATCTCAGCTTGCAGGGTGACACAGACAGGTGCCCCAGAAGTTACAAACGTAAGTGATCATATAGAGACCTGAGATGCTACATATGCAATTAGCAGGGGGCACTTAGGCCACCAGAGGGATCTGGGAAAGCCTTCCTGGAACAGCTGCAAGTGGAGCTAAATCTGGAAGCTGCTCTAAGCTAGAAGGAACTTACAACAGAAGGAAGTGCACATGCAAAGGCGGGGGAACAGGAGAGACTGTGCCAGGAGCCACGGGCAGCTAAACATTCCTAAAGCTCTGTGTGCATGCTGCGGCGGGAGATTGGAATGAGGCAGCCAGGCAAGGCAGCAAAGGACAGAGCAAGAAGGGCCCCAGGGATCACGATGAAGAGAGTGGATTTTGTCCCCATGTCACCAAGGGACAGAGACCTTTGGGATGGACGAAGCAGGGCCAACAGGGTGAGGCATTTGTCCACTGTAGAGCAGAAAGGGTCTGAGGAGCACGTGGGGAGATGTGAGATGGAAAGGGAGAAGACTCCGAGGGCTATGGGAATGAGGCCCCAGGGCTGGAGGATAAGCTAGGAAAGGACCTTTCCCTCCCACACAGGGCTGCCCTCTCTGGGAAGAGCCCTGTGGGCTTCTGGGCCTAGTGGTGACAGTAGAGGGGGCTGTCCTTAGCGTTAGTGACCCAGCAGTGTCAGGGCCCCAGCTCTGTCATGAGGGGACTTTGAGCCCATCACACACCTCATCTCTGGTGCTTTATCAATAAGAGTCTGTCGGCAAGAGGGACCCAATGCTGCCAAAGGCCCAAGAGCAGTTATTCTCTACCTTCGGAAAATACACATTCTCGCCGAAACCGGTTTGGCTCAGTGGATAGAGAGTCAGCCTGCGGACTGAAGGGTCCCAGGTTTGATTCCGGTCAAGGGCATGTACCTTGGTTGCAGGCACATTCCCAGTAGGGGGCGTGCAAGAGGCAGCTGATCTATGACTCTCTAATTGATGTTTCTAACTCTATTTCTCTCCCTTCCTCTCTGTAAAAAAAATCAATAAAATATATTTAAAACAAAATTTTATTTAAAAAAAGAAAAAGAAAATATACATTCTCATGGTGTCAAGGGAGGCCTGTCCTTGGACCCCCAGATTGAGAATGCTGGTCCAAGGAATACTGTTTTCCCCCCGTTGCTAGCTTCCACTCAGATAAATAATGTTTGCTGAAAAGTGAAGGTTTGAACCCTGAAAACTATCATTTGCAATTTTAGTAGTGATAGATCATTTGAGATTATTTTTACTGTTGTGCCACTTTGTCTCTGAAGGGGGTAACTTGATTTCATGTTTATTTGTTGGGTGAAGATACACTAATAAAAAATTCTTATTTTCTGTCTCTTATTTTATTAGGAATAATCAGTTTTCCTGCTTTGCATCTCATGCTGATAGCTTCCAAAACCCTCCAAGTATTATACAGACGAATTTTAGAAAGTTTATTCAGACTCCTTATGTGGTAAGATTGCATTTCTAAATTTTTCATTTTGTACATTCTGTCCTCCTCAGCTATATCTACATGTTCAGGGTTCACCAATACTTTTTATAATATCTGTAACTAATTGTTCAGTAAGTATGGGTTATAATTCTTATGTTTAACATTAAGATTCTGTTGAGGCATGTAGTTATGACATAAGAAATGGTCATCTCTTATTTGATTTAGCAGGATTTTATTGCACTTATTATAGTACTAGCTTTCTTAAGAACAGAGGATGTTATTAAGGTATAACTTACATACTGAAATTCACCTGTTTGAGGTGTATGATTTAATAATTTTTTTATACCAAGATGTGTAACCATTACCGTAATCCAGTTTTAGGACATTTTTGTGACCCCAATGAGAGCCCTTAGGCATGCTAACTACTAATCTATTTTTTGTTTTAAAGATTTGCCTTTTCATAGGGCAGTTCACAAATGGCAGCTGGCTTCCATGAGAACAAGCAAGTGATGGCTAGAAAGATAGACGCCAGAGTGTGCTTGTAACCTAATCTCAGAGGTGACATTCCATCACTTCTACAGTACTCTGTTTGTAAGAGCAAGTCCACACTCAAAGGAAGGGGGTGGCATAGGGGCCTGTTCCGAAGCTGCCGGTAGAGTCCTCCCACTGGCCTCCAGTAATTCATATCCTTCCCCTTCCTTCTTCCCAGGGTCCCCGAAAGTCTCATCTCATTGCATATATCTTTATGCACTTTTTCAAATTTATAGACTTGGTATAAATTCAAGATGACTACTATGAAAAGGGTTTTATGTGACTTTAAAAAATGTTTTGTTTTGTTTTAACTGATTTCAGAGAGGGAGAGAGAGATAGAAACATCAATGATGGGAGCAAATCATTGATCCGCTGCCTCCTGCACGCTTCACACTTGGGATCAAGCTGGCCACCCAGGCCCTGACCTGGAATGGAACCATGGCCTCCTGGTTCATAGGTCAATGCTCAACCACTGAGCTGTGCCAGCCAGGCTGTGACTTTTTTTTTTTAAACTGAGGAGAGAAGTAAAGGTATGAAAGAGGTAGATTTGTGAAAAGTATAGACTCAAATGGAATAAAGAGAAGGCTATAAGACTCCTAGAGGCCTGGTGCATGACATTTGTGCACTGAGCAGGGAGCGGGTTAATGGGGAAGTCTGCTTAGCCTGGCCTGTGCCCTTTAGCAGTCTGGAAACCCTCAGGGGATGTCCACCTGATAGCTTAGGCCCACTCCCCCCACCGCAGCTGCGCCTGCCAGCCAAGCACAGCCATCAGCCCTGCTTGTGGCTGAGTGGTGCTCCCCCTGTGAGAGTGCACCGACCACCAGGGGGCAGCTCCTGCATCGAGTGTCTGCCCCCTCTTGGTCAGTGTGCGTCCTAGTGACCCGTGGTTCTGCCGTTTGGTTGATTTGCATATTACCCTTTTATTATATAGGATTGCTTTGGGGGAAAAGAAACCATCTTTCAGAATAGGCCCTATCTTTTCTGTTCCCACCAAAAGATTCAGGTTCTTTGTAGTTACTGTCTTAATACTCTGACTTCTGATTATTTCCTAGTCATGGCAGGAGCATTTACTCAAATCATTGATCCGAGTCAGCAAAACTACCTCCTGTAGTGTTGGGAATTTGTTTTGTTAGACATTGGGGATTCTCTTCTGCATGCTTGAATAAATCCTACACTTTTAGTCCATTTTGTAAAGTTACCTATTGTGTTATGCAGGAGTATTTTTTTTTTTTACATTTCTCATGTTTGTGAATTAAACTAGCCTTCACAAACTAGCATGGGTTATGTGAAGGAAGATGTGTGTATGTTCCTATAGTTAAGCTACATGCAACATATTTTATGTTCTTAATCCTATACATTTAAAATGGGTGTTTAATGATAAAATGAAGTTTCATCCCACAGTTTACTTAAAAGTAAACTTTAACATGAATTAACCCATGCTAATCCTTTTTTTCACACAGGATTATACTATGCAGAGAAAAGACATTATTCACTACGCATTTCAAGTTGAGAGCAACCCTCAAAACATGAGAGGCTTTAGACCTTCTAAGGTATTGAGTGGTCTTTTCCATTTAATTCTAGCTTTTGGTTTATGCTTTGAACACAATGTTCTAAATAATGGCTAAATTCAAAGATGTTTATAGTAGCTACAAACTTCTTTCTGACACTTAGAGTTAACTTTAATCAATTTAATGATGACCTCTTTCCTCAGGACTTGATTTTCAACTTTTTTTTTGTAGCCAGTGGAACATTTTTACAAGAATTACATGGAAATATAAATACATAAAAATTACCCAGAGTGGCTTTCAGTGGGGAGGCAGGCCAGGTCCCAAACCCTTTTTCTAAGTCTGTCCCTTTATTTCTAAGATGTAAGTGCCTAGCTATAGAACCTTCTCCAGGATTTACAGATTAAAGAAAACCTGCCCACACATAGACATGCAGCCCTCAGAGGCCTTCTGGATTGACCATCAGAGAAAGATTCTGGTCCAGGAAGCTTTGTTAAAAATTTTCCATCGCATTCTTCGTGTACAGCTATGTCTTATGTGATCGTTTTAATTAACCAACGTGTTTGATTATCCAGATAACCTCCTCCCCCCAATGTAGGGGATAAGAATATAGTGCAAAGGAGTGTGTTTCTCTTTTCTTGCTCTCAGAAGTTGAAGTGCTTTTTAAATCCACTTGGACTGATTTTCCTGCTTATGATAGGTACTTTATTCATATTTTCATCCCACAGTGTCTTCCCTCCCCCAAAAAAAGGAGAAGAATCTGAGATTTTTGTGTGTGAAAGGGGCAAGCAGGGTGGATGGAGTAGTTGGCTCAGTAGGAAGTTAGTATGAGCAGAAAGGTATTATAAACTGTCACCAAGCCATAGAGTAGGAGAGTAGCTGAGTGATCTGTTAATACAAGGCTTCTTGAGAGTCAAAATTTTTAGATTTCAAGAGATTTTTTCCATTGGGAGCAACACAATTAGTAGGCATTGAGTAGATAGTATTTTAGCCAATAATTCATGTAGCTAAAAACACATGTGACATTAGGTTTTCGAAAATACCTATGGCCGTAGAATATAGACACGTATTATACCATCTTTTAATGTCTTGAGGCATAAAAGCATTAACTGAAAATGTGATGTCTATATAGCTCAGGGACTGTGGCAATGGACTTTCAGATTTAAGTGCTTCCTACATGCTGTTCTGTTCATTGGTCAGATATAGTGGATTGTAGTGTTTTTCTACAATTGTTAGGAGTTGTTTCGTGTTATCCCTTCTCCTTAATGAAAAATTAATTGAGCCAAAACTGGTTTGGCTCAGTGGTAGAGCGTCGGTCTGCGGACTGAAAGGTCCCAGGTTCGATTCTGGTCAAGGGCATGTACGTTGGCTGCGGGCACATCCCCAGTAGGGGATGGGCAGGAGGCGGCTGGTCGATGTTTCTCTCTCATCGACGTTTCTGGCTCTCTGTCTCTCTCCCTTCCTCTGTAAAAAATCAATAAAATGTATTAAAAAAGAAAGAAAAATTCATTGACATTAATTATAAATTAAAAAAATATATGCAGTAATTTTCTTGACCATTCATTCGAAGCTGTGTAACATTATATGATTATTTGGAAGTCTACAATCCTTTATAGTAAAATAGGAGGAGGAAATAATCCTTCCTAAGAAAAGAAATTGATTAAAATTTACTTTTTATATTAATTGGACTAATTCAAAGCCAGAATTAGTAATCACCTTATGAGATATGTAACAATGGACATTGTAAATAATATGCAGATAGTTTTAACAAAATTACAGTCTCATTATAATTCTGTTTTACCCGAATTTTTTGTAGTCTTAAAAAAATAACTGGAAAATAGGTGTGGCATAAATACTTTTTATAAACTTATATACTTCTTTATGCTTGCCGAACCCATTGTTAAATAATTGTGGAAAGAGGAATATACTTTTTATAATTTCTCCATTATTATACACCATTTATACATTTTTCACATGGGAAACACAACAACTCATGGTCATTTTACATCTATTGTAATTTTGGACAGTCTTTTGAAGTATAATTCTTATCTTGAAAATATTTGCTAATGGATTTTTTATGTTAAAGAAAGATGAGTTTTCCCTGGCTAGGTGGCCCAGTTGCCTGGAGCATCATCCTGAGCACCAAAAAGATTTTGGGTTTGATTCCTGGTCAGGACACATATCTACGGTACAGGTTTGATCCCCGGTCAGAGTGTGTTGGGGAGGCAGCCGATGGATGGTTCTCTCTCACATCGATGTTTCTCTCTCTCCCCCCTCCTCACTTCTCCTCTCTCTCAAATCAATGAAAACATATGCTCAGGTGAGGATTAAGAAATAAATATTGGCTTGGAAGGTACTGACAATAATAAAGTTAAGATTTTTTAATCTTAAAAAGATGTTGATACTTAATATCTTCCCCTCTATTTGTGATTTGTAATATTTCACTATGAATAAGAAGGATAATTTTAGCTCATTAGAGGTTTTGGAAGTTGTATTTTTCTTAGCATGGTCAATTTCAAGAATTGCAAAATTCTTTTAATTTAACGGTTTTAAAAAATTGTTTTATGTGAATTTTAAAATTTTTATATAAGCTTTGGCCAGCATGGCTCAGTTGTTTGGAGCATCATCCTGTGTACCAAGAGGTGACGAGTTCGATTCCCAGTCAGGGTACATATCCACATTGCAGTTTCCATCCCTGGTCCGGGCATGTGTGGGAGGCAATTGGTCAGTGTCTCTCTCTGTCTCTCTCTCTCTCTCTCTCTCTCTCTCTCTCTCTCTCTCTCTGTCTCTCCCCTCCCCCCGTCTGACTCTCCGTCTGTCTCTCTGTTTGTCTCTCTCTCCCCTCCCTTCCTCTCTTTAAAATCAATGCAAAAAGTTAAAAAAAATTAGCTAGGAAACTAGTTTGAGGAAAATGTACTTTATGTCCATCATTAACCTCTTCCTTTTTAATATTTGTAGTGCCTAGAATCAAGGGCAGCCCTACATACCAGACATTTTTCCATTTCTTATGCTAATAAAGTATATTTGGAAGCTCTAGTTTTAAGATTTAATTATTTTTTTCCTTTACAGAACTACTTTAGAGGTGGCAGACTGCAGCCCCATTATAAATCAGGCCTAGTAAAGAAGAGCTTGAACATTCAGGCTAAATATCAGCGTTTACGGTATGCTGGTTCAAAGGGATTTTTCACTAATAAATTCAGAGAAAGATTGCTGAGGAGGAAAAAGGTTAGTTGGATTATGATTCATTAAAAATACTGAGTGACTTTGGAACTCATAAATTATCTCTGTTTAATAGATAAGTTGAGTTTTTAATTTAATTTGACTTGGCAAACAACCTACATTTCAGAAATACTCTTATTGTATAATAGTGGCAGAAAAACTTCAAGGAGCAGTGGTAATAGAGCTGTGAGACTGTTTAATCTGAAAATGCTTTTAGCTGTTATACCTCAAATATTTTTAATATGCCAGCTGTTGAAACTTTTTACCTTAGAATATCTCCTCTATGATTCATTTTTGAAATGGAAATTCAGGTAAAGATTTTTAATTGATATATTTTAGCCTTATAAAATATGAATTACCTAAGTATCAAAAAATATTGAGCTGACTATAGAAAAGGGGTGAATAATTGCAAAATATGCTAACTCTTCTTTTGTCCCTACTCATATATGCTTTATTTTGATAAAATATATAACAAATTTTGCCATTTTAACCATTTTTAAGTATATAATTCAATGGTATTAATTACATTCAGAATGTTGTGTAAGCATCACTACTTTATGCTAACTCTTCATGTTAATGAAAAGTTTCTTGCCCTGCTGGCATGGCTGAGTGGTTAAGTGTCAACCTATGAACCAGGAGGTTATGGTTCGATTCCTGGTTGGGGCACATGCCTGGATTATAGGCTCGATCCCCAGTGTGGGGCATGCAGGAGACAGCCAATCAATGATTCTCTCTCATCATTGATGTTTCTTTCTATCTCTCCCTTTCCCTTCTTCTCTAAAATAAATAAATAAATAAATAAATAAATAAATAAATATTTTTAGAAAAGTTTCTTTACTTGATCATTTGAATTTCATACTCTTTTAGTTGTAGATAGATTTTATTTAAATTTGCCATATTGGTATTTGAAAATACAGCATCAATATGATATAAAATTACATTCTATACATATTTTAAATGAGAATAATAGCATTATATCAGTTAAGGGAGGTTATTTTGTCAATATTTTTACTAATCTTTGTTTATAATTATGGGCTAACATTTTTTTCTGAGAAATATCAGTATATTTACTGTTGCTATCAAATAGTCCAACTGTGGTTTCATAAATTTATTAACCATAAATGTCTCCTTAAATACTCATACCTGTGAAGCCTTTTCACTGAGCTTGCTTAGTGGTTTTAGTAAAACTTGTTTTTTAAAACATAGATCAATAGAATGGAGTTGACAACTGATTTTTAAAAAAGTTTTAAAATTAGATATAATACCTTCTGAACCTCTATCACCCCCTAATTGTAATTGAGTACCTTTGAAGAGGTTTCTAATTTCACTGTGTATGTCATCCTAGGTGTTATGAAAGCCAGCTCTCTTTTAAAAATGGAGTGAAATTGCTATAATTTCCCCCTCTTGTATCCCCTCCCTGCTGTTGGATTGAGGTGCTGCTTCTCTCCCTGCCTTGTGTGGCAAATTTCTTTGCAGCAGACCTTCCTACATATTTATCCCCAATCACACGTGGCAGCCTGCATAGTCCCAGGGAAGCTAGTCATTGATTTCCATTCGAGGAGGAAGGCTGAGGCGAGCCTTTTCCTTAACTTTAGGGTTGAGCTTCAGGTAAATGTTATGTGTTTCTTTTCTGTTCGTTCTTTGCTGAACTTTGAGTGTTAGCTTCATTTAATTCCATTTTTACCTTTATTCTTTCTATGATCTGGGGCTCCCGAGTGCTTACTTGACTGCCTGCCTCAGCCTGTGCTTTCTATACACTCATTGGACTTGCTCCATTTCATCATTCTTGTCTTTGCCTCACCTTGCCCTGTTCCTACTGACCACCCAGTTTTTCCAGACCACGTTGACCTTGCTTAGCAGCAAATAGAAACCAGACGTTAAGCCTTCATCTTAGGCCCTGACGAGTGTTTTCTAGAAGAAGCCACAGCCAGCTGTAGGTCTCTAATCTTCAGGGCTTAGGCTTTTTTTTTTAATTGTGTGTTTTTTAAAAATATATATTTTTATTTAAAGTAGAGAGGGATAGAGAGATAGAAACATCAATGAGAGAGAATGTTGATCGGCTGCCTCCTGAATTATTGGGAATCGAGCCTGCAGTCTGGGCATGTGCCCTGACTGGGAATCGAACTGTGACCTACTGGTTCATAAGTTGATGCTCAGCCGCTGAGCCACACTGGCCTGGCTTTTGTGTCATCTAAAATGTAGCTGTTGTGGTTAATGCCAGTGCAGGTCATGGCCCTGTCCTCCTATTGCCTTTTCTGCCATCTGAGTACGTTAGAGGTGGTCCCAATACACTGGATTAAAAAAAAATTAGTGTCTTCTACTGTTTTTCTTAGATGTAACCCTCTGGATGCTACTTCATATTCCTTTGTATCGTAGCTACTTTGACATGGGTTTGTTCAGTCTGCCTATTGTCAGTGCCTGCAAGCCAGCACAGCCAGGCTTTTATAGATTATGTTTGAACAAGGCATATAACTCCACGAGTACGGCGTGAAATCAGGCTTCCTATTATCAGCACCCTACTTACTAGCTGGGCTCCACACTCTCCTGACCTTTAGAAAAAGTAATGAGGCATTGCAGCTGCTCTGTTCCTGCCAAGGTCTTAAAGCGTACGTCGCCTTAGAGGGGTGTGTGTGTGTGTGTGTGTGTGTGTGTGTGTGTGTGTGTGTGTGTGTGTTTAATATATTTTCGTTCTGGTTAGTGGGAACCAAGGTACTTGGCTTACTTAGCCTTAGAGCTGTCCCTGTAGCATTGTGCTGAAACCCCATTCTACATGTATAAACTGATGATGTAGATGTAGTATGCCATTTTACCTCAACCTTCATGCCCTGAAGAAAAGAGGTAGAGGCCTGGAGTCTTCTGTTTCTTCTAATGCTGCTTGCTTCTCCTTTCTCTTAGACTAGGGGCACTTTTGCTCAAATGGGCTTACTGGTAAGAGGTACCATTTACATCACTTTGCATCCCAAGTCCAGCATTAGAGGGCACTTTGAAGCTACTTCCTGGAGAGGAACCTTATTCTGAGCAGCAGCTGTTCACTGCTTTGGCTATTTTGCCCTGATAGGAACTTCATTCTTTTCATTATTAGATCACCAGCTAGATTAATTAAGGATGTGTGATCAATTTGTTAATCTAGGTACTCTGGAACTTCTCCCATGCCTCAGTCCACCAGGACGGTTTTAATTGATCTTATCTGGACTTCTCACTCCCTCACAGTATTGAGGTAGCTGAGCTGAAATCTAAGTTTTCAGATGGCAGCCAATGGCCAACCTTGTAAGCAGGCCTTTCAAAGGGTAGCAGTTAGGTATACTATATTAACTGCTTGCTGTACAGCCATACTTTTGAAGAGCTGGATTTCACAGGTGGTAAGTGCCTAAGAGGAGGAAAAGGTCAACATGTTAGGAATGGTGAGTATGCTAAGTACCTTGATTTCTAGTCTCTTCACAGATGAGGTAGATTATGAGCTGAGTCATGGAGAAGGGTAGGACATAGAAGGCAAGGCCAAAGATCCATGTTTGGCAGTAGAATGTAGAGTCGGGTAGAGATAGGGGTGTACAAACTATAGAGGACCTCAAAAACTGGGTAGAATAGAATGTGATGTGGTAGTAACAGGACATCTTCCTAGACTGAGACGGAGAAAGTGGTACTTGATGAACACTTGGTGAGCAGTGGGTAGGCAGGGTTCTGGGGAGGAGATGAGATACAGGAAGACCAACAAGTGGACATTTTCAATGACACAAGTGTTAAGTTATAAAAATCTACATGAGGATGATGCTTGTTTAGCTAGTTCAGCATTCTGCTTAGTTAGGTTTTCAAATAATTGGAAGAATGGAGGGATTAATCCAAGAGGTGGTATAGAAAAAGTTATGTCAAAGATGAACATGATTCACAATAATTGTACATTCTTCTTTGTTAATTCTCACTGAGGACATTTTTTCCACTGTTTGCTTTTTTTTTTTTTTTTTGAGAGAGAGAGAGAGAGAGAGAGAGAGAGAGAGAGAGAGAGAGAGAGAGAGAGAGAGGGAGGGAGGAAGAGGGAAGAAGAGAAAGAGAGAGAGAAACTTCAATGTGAGAAACATCAATTGTTTGCCTCCTGCACACACTCTGGGGCAAGGGATTGAACCTGCAACCCAGGTACATTCCCTTGACCTGGAATTGTGACCCTTTGGTGCGTGGGCTGATACCACTGAGCATACGGACACTAGCCAGGGCTAATTGTACATTTTTATAAACAACGTGTTTCAGTTGAAAAAACTTTAAGAATCATTATAGTTTTCTTTTAAATTTGTTTTTATATAATTATAATTTTGTATATTATATTTGAATAAAGATATAGAATACAATGAAGTCTACCTCTGTTTAAAGGAATTATGTTGACAAAGTATATATGCATGTATCTTGAATATTTCGTTAACCAAAATAGAAAAAATAAGAGTTTTTTTTAATCAGTACTGTTTTTGTTTGGAATTAAACATTTGCATACTAACATAAATGCCAAAAAATTAAATCGACTTTTACATTTCTTTCAGTTTTAATATTATAGGATCCTAGTAAAAGGTAAGGATATATGTATTAATATTTTTTAATGTCCCATAAAAACATGCCATTCTGCCATTTTTGCTCTTTTATTAGTTGCATGGTCCTATGTCCAGTTCATGGTTGGTAATTTAATATTTTACATAGCACCACGGTATAGAATCCATAGTCTTTACCCTTTAATTTTAGTCTTACATGTTCTTGTGAATTTCTTTTTCTGTGTTTATTGAAGCCATATATATATATATATATATATATATATATATATATATATATATATATATATATATATATTTTGTCGGTAATCATCCAAAAGCAAGAAAGCTTTCCCCCAATAGCTTTCTCTATTGATATCAGCCAAGCTAGTAGAGTTCATATCATTTTAGAATTAGGTACCCTATGATGACAAAGATAAAATAAAGTTTGAAGTTGTGCATGTGTCAAATCAGGCTCTGTAGTTGAAGGAATAAAGTTTAAGAACCATTTTCCCCCCCAGGGATGTCCCCAATGAAACTCACCCAATGGCCATTCCCATCAGCTTACTAATAGCAATGGGTTCAGTGCCATGTATTTTCTTTGTCCTACTATCATCATTTGATACCCACTTTGAGGTGCGCTATTGTTATTTTGCATATTTGGGGTTCCATATATCCACATACCTTTGTGGGGAGCTAGGATTCAAGTAATACTACATAAATTAAACTATTTTATAAATTGCAATGTAAACAAACTAGCTCAGACGTTATACCTGTGCTTCTTTTGAAGTCTGTCTTTTGTTTTCTTTCAATAGAAATATGCAGGCATTGCTGCAGAAGTCTAAAGAGGAATTTGTCGCAAATGGAATCAACACTACAGGACATTTGACACTAAAGCACTAATACTGTAACTTTCTTGATAAAATAACTTTTTCTGTAGTGAATTGCTGCAATTTTTGTACACTTACTTGCTTTTAAAATACAGTATTTAATTGAAAAGCTGTATTAACTACAGTTTCTTTAGCAAAAAATTTCAAAAGGGCATTATTTGTTGAATTTTTCTCTGAGTATGGTTTCATAGGGAACTTAACTGAGTTATATTCAAATGTTTATATATTGAAAGTTTTACATATGTAATAAAAAACAAAAGTATCTGAATTGTATAGACTCTGCACATGAAAGGACTTTTAACAGTGGCCTTATGGTAGCAAATTTTATACCAGATATTTTTTCCTGGATATTTTTTCCTGGTGATATTTTGACTTATAACTTGAAGTTTTCTTAAGTGTCTGAGGCTCAAGGCCTTTATAATTCATACATTTCATATTATGATCTAAGGCAAGAGAAAAGGTGCTTCCAAATATTCCATCAGGTAGTTATGAGTGCACTGAACTTTTAGCAATTGGTTCATTCAGTTTTTTTCCGTAACTGTTTGCTGTTTTAGGATTTTAAAATGCTATTGTGGAAAATATGTGAAGATTTTGTAATCTATATTCCACATTACTTTCCCTCAGGGCAAGCTTGTGCATATCATATTTTTAAAGGCTTTTAAAAAATTTGACAAAGTCTCATATTTGGAAATTGTACTTTACTACTATAGCATTACACATTTTGTAAGCACATTTTATAAAATGTTTAAGTTCAGTTGTATCAAATATCTACTATGTATAAGAATGGTTGGGAATATAAATGATATTTTAGGCTTTAATATCATTTCTTTATGTTATCTGAGTTCTGCTTATTATTACCTCTACATTCCCAATTGAATTTTGTGAAATGTTTATTGGTATCAAAATAAACCATTGTTGTTCCTTATGCTTGAGGAAGTTACTTGACAGTTTGTGAGAACATTAATGTAATTAAAAATTTTTTTAATAAAAAATATTTTTTATTGATTTCAGAGAAGGGAGAGGTACAGAGAGAGAGAAACATCAATGATGAGAGCGAATCAATGATTGGCTGTCTCCTGCTCGCCCCCCACTGGGGACTGAGCCCAAAACCAGGTCTTGTGCCCTGACCAGGAATTGAATTGATTCATAGGTCGACATTCAACTACTGAGCCACATCAGCTTGGCATGTATTATTTCTTATAGCTGCATGTAAATCTATAATTATCTCTATAAATTTCAGTTAAAAATCATCCCTAATTTTATGGCCAAGAAAACTATAAATATTTTGGAATATACTTTTTTGCTATTGGAAAAAATTATATTTACATTATAACATTTTATGTAGATGCATAATATGGAGCACATTTTACCCAATAAACCCTATATTTTTATATATATATATATATATATATATATATATATATATATATATTTTTTTTTTTTTTTTTTTTTAAGTCTGGAGATATTTTCAGGTCCAAGCAGGAGAAATAAGGCTGGGTCAGATACTCTCCTTCTCCATTAAATAGCCAACTCAATAAGCAGCAGCCACAAGTTCTGCAGCAGCAATCAAACAAGGAAGATAAGGGGGAAAGATGCTAATGCAACAAAACCTCCCCAATTCCCGGAGAAGCACTGAGTAAAGAAACGCAATTGGCAACATTTTGGTGAGGATGGGCCCAAGTATGGACACAAGGGATGCAAGGCCATGTGGAGAGGCATGGGAAGCACTTGGGAAGATGGATTCTTTGCCACTTTCTCAGGACCTCAGTGTAGCAGGGGGATCCCCAGGAGGAGGCTCTTTCCAGGTCAGGTCACCTGTGGATGCCAGTGTCCAAAGGATAAGGTACACCTTTGCCTGGGTCCAGTCAACCCCTGTTCTGGACATTTTGGAACCCAGAAGAGAGGGGACCAAGTTTCCCAACAAAGTTCTAGTAAAAGGAATGTTAGGAGCTCTGAGTCCATTAAAATACAGTACTGAGGCCGGCACCGGTTTGGCCCAGTGGATAGAGCATCGGCCTGCGGACTGAAAGGTCCCAGGTTCGATTCCGGTCAAGGGCATGTACCTTGGTTGCGGGCACATCCCCAGTAGGGGGTGTGCAAGAGGCAGCTGATCGATGACTCTCTCTCATTGATGTTTCTAACTCTCTATCCCCCTCTCTTCCTCTCTTTAAAAAATCAATAAAATATATTTTTAAAAAAATACAGTACTGAGATTTTAAAACTGAGGAATTATAGTTGTAGAATGGAATGTAAATGTAATTAATCTTGACAAAGAAAAATTCACATACATTGATTAATTGGTTTATGGGGAGGGAAAGGGGAATGAAGACTTAGTGTCATGTCAAGTTTTAATGTTTAAAATTGCACTATATGATAGATGAAAACCCTTAGCAACCAACTTTTTAAAAAAATATATTTTTAAAAAAAAGTTAATATATTTTAAAAAGTTTTTTATTGATTTTAGGGAGGAAGGGAAAGGGAGAGAGAGGTAGAAACATCAATGATGAGAATCATTGATTGGCTGCCTTCGGCACGCCTCCTGCTGGGGATTCAGCCTGCAACCTGGGCATGTACCCTCAACTGGAATCGAACCTGGGACCCTTTAGTCCACAGACTGACACTCTATCCATTGAACCAAAGCAGCTAGGGCCAGCTTTTAAGTTTTTCACAGTCTTTTTCTTGATCTTTGCACGGTGGTTCTCAAAGTGTAGTCCCCAGCCAGTAGCCTCAGCATCATCACTACCTGCCAACTTGTTAGAAGTACAGATTCCCAGGCCCCACCCCAGCTTTGGCCAGTGGGAGCCCCTTTAAGCTGATTGCTATATCCTTGCTATGCCTCCAGGATTATTTTCAGCACTTCTTACTTTGTAGCATAACAAGGTGCTCCAGGCTTATCTTGGGAATTCCCTTCCACATCCTTGAAATCAACAATTTCTTCAAGGAGCCCTAGTTCCTTTTAGTGGGGAAGGATGTGAGAGACCAAGATTTGAACACTGGTGTCCATTGCTATTGGGGTTTCTTTGCAGCCATAGCTAGGAAACACACACATGTGTGTGCACACACACACACACACACACACACCTATTATATAATATACATACTTATTTTAGAAATCCTGAGGTCACACTGATAACTCCCATCAGTTGCCACAGGATCCTTCCTAGCCTTATCTGTTTCTTATTTGTATGTCCCTTCTTCCACAGTGAGGGCCATGGTTCCCAACAGTATCCAATTACTTACTTACTAGAGGCCTGGTGCATGAACTAGTTGCACAGGTAGGGTCCCTAGGTCTGGCTGGCAGGGACAATCAGGTTGCCTGCCTCCTCTTTTCCTCACTTCCTCTGCCACCACTGGTAGCCCTCCATGTTCCGCGGCGCCCCTAGTGGTCAGTGCACATCATAGTGAGTGATCGAACTCCCAAGGGGACACTTTGCATATTAGGCTTTTATATATATATGTATATATATAAAAGCCTAATATGCAAAAATACACACACACACACACACACACACACACACTAGAGGCTGAGTGCACAAAATTTGTGTGTGTGTGTGTGTGTGTCCCTCATCCCAGCCTGTACCCTCTTCAATATGGGACCCCTCAAGGGATGTCTGACTGCCTGTTTAGGCCTGATCACACCAGGCAGTCGGACATCCCTCTAACAATCCAGGACTGCTGGCTCCCAACCACTTGCCTGCCTGCCTTCCTGGTTGCCCCTAACTGCTTCTGCTTGCCGGCCTGATCAAAGCCTAACTGCTCCCCTGCCGGCCTCATCACCCCCAACTGCCCTCCCCTGTCACCCAGTCGCCTCCAACTGCTCTCTCCTGCTGGCCCAGTCACCCCTAACTGCCCTCTCCTGCTGGCCCCTCACCCCTAACTGCCCTCTCCTGCCAGCCTGGTCGCCCCTAACTGCCCTACCCTGCCCTGCCGGCCTGGTCCCCCCAACTGCCCTCCCTCCCCTGCAGGCCCGGTCGCCCCCAACTGCCCTCCCCTGCCAACCCAGTCATCCCTAACTGCCCTCCCATGCTTGCCTGGTTGCCCCCAACTGCCCTCCCCTTCTGGCCTTGTTGCCCCTAACTGCCCTCCCCTGTTGGCCTGATCGCCCACAACCGCCTGGCCATACTGTGATCTTATGCAAGGGTGTGGCAGTCAATTTGCATATTACCTCTTTATTATATAGGGTATAGATTTGCTCAATCCCAAAGTACATCTGAAATAGTTTCAGGGTTGCTTCCCTCATACCACTACACTAAACAAATGTATTAAAAACTAGAGGCCTGGTTCACAGAATTCTGCATTTGGCAGGGGAGGGGGGTTCCCTCTGCCCGACTTGCGCCCTCTCACAGTCCAGGACCGCTTGCTCCTTACCACCTGCTTGCTTGCTGCTCCTTAGTGCTGCCTTGGAGGCATCAGAGGCTCCCACCACCGACACTGCACTCGCTACCCATTAGCCCAGCTTTTGGCTGAGCAGCGCTTCCCCTGTGGGAGCAGACTGACCACCAGGGGGCAGCTCCTGCATTGAGCATCTGCCCCCTGGTGATCAGTGTGCATCATAGCAACTGGTTGTTCTATGGCTTGGTCAATTTGCATATTACCCTTTTATTATCCTATCTAATAAAAAGGGAATATTCTAATTGATCCTCATGTGGTACCCACAGCCAATAAGGAGGGAATATGCTAATTGTTGCCCCACCCTCAAAGATGGCGGCACCCACAGCCACAAGATGGTGGCACCCAGTCCTCTCAGTCCTGCCAGGGTGGCAGGCATGTGGCAAGGCCTGGCCCACCCCCAGGTGGGCCTGGACACTCTGCGAACCTGCCTCCAGAGTCCCCCAGTCCCCTCAGTCCTCCAGCCACTCAGGGCCAGCCCAAGGTGCAGGCAAGCCTCGGATGGTGGCTGCCCAAGTCTCAGGTAACCAGGGATGGCTGAAGCTTGCACTGCCGGCAGTGGCAGC